TACTAAACACTTTTTCACCAAACTCCTGTACAAAACTACGCAACTTTGCGCTCCTTGAACTACATGTACTCACTTTAGGCATTGTAAAGTCAAACTGAAGTCTTATAACGCCCTCCACATATATAAATAGAATACTTCTAAGCCCTCCAAGAAAGAATGGGATGTATATACCTTATAGTAAGACGGAATACAATAGGAGAATACCCGTTACACTTGCCTCCCTCCTGCCTCGACTGGGAAAGGCTGGCTTGCCAGGTCATAAATGCTACATTTCACAAATTTCGCCTTTGTAACTGCAAGTACAGTTCAGTCAAAAATATGGTTTTTAATACGATCTTCATGTACTTGAACTCTATTCCACATTGAAGCAACAGTCCAGCCTGAAATTTATTTTGTAATACTAAACATTATGGAGCCGAAATTTTACATTATATCAAAGAATTGTTTCTAAAATGACAAAATATGACCTTATTTCAAAATTATGCCAAAATATGCTGCAAAACCAATAAAACTCTAAAATATGCATGTATATGCACAATGAAAACGACATAATTTTAATAAGAATGACTGGAAACATGCATAATTACATTTAAAAATAGGAATAAACCCTAGGAAAAAAATATGACATGTCATAGAAATCCGGGCCCTACCTTTCAGTATGCACCAACCTCTTACAGAGTCCATGTTGCAGTCTTTACGAGTTCCATGTAGAGTAAATATTTATGCAGTCAGCAAAATGGAGATGCCTAGAATACTTAATTGCATTACTTAAGATTGAATGTATGAGGGGTGGGCCTTCTCGGCCTTTGCACCGCGACCTACAGTGGTCTATTGTGCTTCATACATAAGATTACTAAAGACACTGACGCCAGAGGTCCCAGAACAGATCACTGGGGAACACCGTAGGGTACTTGCGAGGACAATGAAATGTTTCCAGACACTCGGATCTGAGATTACCAGAATACGAGTATGTAAATACGTTTACAGCACCAGGCTTATGTATCAGGGACAAGATTAATTCACCAAATTGGTGATGGTAGATTAGATGTCGTAGGCCGACCACAGTGGCCGTACTATCTAAGGTATGAACTATCTTCGCCCGCTCGAACACTGGGCTCGTGGCTTCGAATCCCACTCAAGGTATGGATGTATGTGTGCGTTTATTCTGTGTTTGTGCTGTTCTGTGTGTAGGTAGCGGCTTAACGAATGGCTGATCCCCCTTCCAATGAATCCTACCTCACTGTATATAGGATTAAGAAGAAACTGAAAAAGCGGCCGAGGTAAAAAAAAGGACAGCAGAAAAACAGACAGATACGCGTAGATACATGAGATATAGTGCAACTGTGCTGGCAAGGATTTCATTTGAACTGTGGGTAAAGTGATGCATGGTCATGAATGTAAATAATACGGGCATTTATTGAGGATAGAAAATGCCCTGTAACTGCTAACAGAGGCATTGTTCCTTCCTTTTAAAAATAAAGAGAATTGCTGATTGCAATGGCAGAAAAGGGGCACGTGGTAGCGTAGTCGGATGATGCACTATGATACAAGCAGGCAGGTCGCGGTTTGGAACCCAGATGAGGTAATTGGATATTTTTAATTTACCTAATCCTTTCAGCCACACTATTGCCCTGGGGCCGACTCATACTCTAACAGAAATGAGTACCAAAAATCTTCCAGGGAAAGGGGGGAGGTAAAGGGCTGACGGATGGCACGTAAGGCTGACAACGTCACCGCCATCTGTGAACCAACGTGTCTAAAAAATGTGGGAGCCTTGACGGCCTGTTACAGGATAGCTTTGCCTTTCTTTCTATACTGACTCATTGCAAGTATGCGGTAGCATAATGTGACATCTGCGTGGAAATATGTATGTTTATACCCCGACCAAAGTGACTTAAAATACGAGAAAGTTGTAACTTTAATTTTGTATTTAACCTGAACTCAGAATGTAAAACATGAATGAAATATATTCAATAAAATCATAACAAGAAGAATGGCATCTGTTTCTGTGGAACCGTGATCAGGCTGTTTCAATAGGAACACATTTTTTGGGAGCGTTTCAGATTTTGTCTTTAAACTGTCAGTCACTTCTCGATACACACACCACGCCGGAGTAGCACGTGCGATATTATAGTGTTGATCCTCAGAGCGAGGAATTTCGTGTGAGATCTTAGGTTTACTCAAAAGTCGAGTACAGAGTTTACAGTCTTCTAACAAGTGACGTCATCTAGTCTGATAGAAAGCTACTAATAAGTAATAATCTTAGAATGAATAATTTAACGAAGGGCGCCTGAAGGGGAGGAAATTTGTTATCTACTCCTCCTGGACTTCTAGAAGAGAAGAAGAATTGAAAAGAAAAGGGGATATATTCAAAATATTTAAAGGTAAAGCTATCCCTGTAACAGGCCACGGAGTTCCATATGACAGTGAAACGTCGTGGCTCCCATATTTACTAGAAATTCGGCTCACAGATGGCGGTGAGATTGTCAGCCTTACGCGCCGGCTACCCTTTACCCGCAGGAAGATTCCTGGTACTCGTTTCTGTTAGAGGCTGAGTCGACCCCAGGGCAATAGTGCGGCTTGAAGGATTAGGTCAATTGAAAAAAATTAAATGATGTCATCGGGAATCGAGCCCTCGACTTTACGGCTTGCAGCATAGTGCCTCAACCAACTAATCCTCTGTGTTTCCATACTCCTAGAACTAATAAAAGAATCCAAAGGCCTTAAAACATTAATACAAGTGGCCTTAGACGGCTTAATGTAAGTCTGCATACAAATATTGAGTGTTCCTCTCCAGAAAATTCCTTGGCGGCGTCCATTATTGTGACTCTTACATTGCTGCTAATCATTTAAGTATTTTGTTTCCTGTCACCGCACTAATTAGTGAATTACTGCTGAATAGTACATGAAAGTGGTAAATAAGTACAGTATGCGCCAAAAAAAACTACTGAAACTCGCGCATCTCGAACGCGCATGTGCGTTTGTCGATGGGGCATAGCTCCAGCCGCACGTGTTCCTAGTAGTGAAAAGGAAGTTGTGTTGTGCAGTTGTTGTTGGAAATGGGTCTCGCGACGAAGGAAAAAGTATTCATAGTTGAGTATTATTTCCGCTCATACAAAAGTGGTCGCCAGACAACTCGCTTCCTTGGGTTTGAGCGGCCAGATGTTATCGTCCAGAAACCACTACATGGTACACGTATGACGAGATGGTGTACCGTCTCAGCACACGGTATATTAGGCCCCTATTTCATTGAGAATGAGGAAGGCAATGCTTTTACCGCCACCCAAGAACGCTACAGGGACATGGTGATCGGACCATTTCTTCAGGATTTGAGAAGGTTCTGTCGTGCAGAGGGCCTTCATATGAATGGACAGTGTTATCAACAGGACGTCTTTTAATTTCAGTGCTGTAATTTTCATTCGCATTGAAGGTTTCGGAGGATACTGCTGCCTTCATCTTCTCTGATAATTAAGGAACTTTCTACCAGAGTATGTGTCACATCTTCACGGAAGTTTATTTAGTAGCTCTGGCTCAGACGAGATCCCATCTTCAGGGCACATTTCTCGCTTCATCACCAGCCAAATTTTACGCAGTGCTTTGAAGCCTAGCTGTAAGATTAATAGGGGCAATTTCATTTTGCTAGATCCCGAAGAGCGGTTCGGAGGCAGCGCCTCTTGATGTTATGGTTTGGGTCCATGGCGGAGGTTGGTTTACAGGATCCGGAAACACGGACATGTATGGACCGCAGTATCTCCTGGACAAAGATATTATCCTGGTGACAATGAACTATCGTCTTGGGTTAATAGGTAGGCCAAAAGTTATTTGAATATGTGCTTAAAGTTGTAATTGAGTACCACATTCAGAGAGAACATATGCAACTGAAGCGTTAGAAGACCTTGAGTGGCTCTGCTAACGCTGATTGAAACGTGTCCTGTATTACTACAGGCCTATGGACGAATGAGTTTTTGGCCTGTGGCCGCAAATATACACTTTTGCAGGTGGGTATTGCAGATTTAATTATTATGATAGAAACTAAATAGATTGGGCAATACGATCAATTATATTTTAACTGAATATGTATTTATATACATGTGAGCCTATGTATAAATTCAAGTGTAAGGCAAATTCGCTTCATTATTATTGGAAAGAAAATACTTCGTTAATCTAAGGGTGTAATTGGGGGTGAGCACTGTGTTTACCGCTGCTTAGCAACGGGCTCGGTGAGGGGGTGTGTATGACGTCACTTGCAGAAACGCCGAGGTCACGAGACTCCTTCCCACTGCTGCAGTATGACGTCATGGCACCTGCGCGAGAGTCTTGTTTCCTGGCTGGCACATAGATGCGGGTTCCATAACCTAGTTCCATTGTTGCATAACTTAGCAACCGACTGATTATCAAGTCTGTCTTCGTGGTAAGTCGTTCCACATCCCGTCGCCCAACAACGGGTTGACATGTCACGTTATAATAGCTGTCGTTGTGTTTAAATTCATATTTTTTATTCGGATAGGTAGTACTAGAAATTGCCTGCACCATTTATGTTAATAAGGAAAGCAGACAGGAATATTGGTCCTTATGCTGCCTGTACCTTCACAATTAAAGGCTCGAACCCGTGTCTACAGGTTTCCTGAGTACGGAAGATGCAGAGTGTCCGGGTAATAACGGAATGAAAGACCAGGTGGCAGCACTGCGCTGGGTACGTGACAACATCGCAGAGTTTGGTGGAAACCCGAACAGCGTAACGATATTCGGTGAAAGTGCTGGAGGTAGCAGTACACATTTCCACATGCTCTCGCCTGCCAGCAAAGGTGAGATGTGCCAAGATATTACATCGAACTTGGAAACGACAATCATTTAAGCTCTCCTGTGTCCATACATTTGAAGCTAACCAGAAACCTGCCCGGCATTGTCTGGGCTTAACGCACACGTATTCTTATATCCTTTGACTTACTGCCCCAATTCTAGCCTTGGCCTACCTCCGTGAAATTTTCCGTTTCACTTGAGTTTACTAGATCTCAGATAGACGGTAGAACTCATTGAACGGGTGATAAGCTCGTTGCAAGGCGACCTGTACATAAACACAAATATAAAACTCACACTCATACACAAACACCACACATCCATGTCCTGAGTTGGGATTCGAACCCACGATCCCGGCTTCCGAGCGAAGACAGTGCATGCCTTAGACCGCTCGGCTACCCTGACCGGCCAACGCACACGCATACGGAGCGAAAATTACCTGTAAACCTAGGAGCGACAGTTTTCCCACCATACCTTTGTAAGGCAGAAGGTATTTTGGGTGTTGATCCGTATCCTAGCAACTATTCCATTGTTCTCAAAATCACAGCGCCTTTCGTACAAATACAGGAATGAGGATATATTGTGGCTTGGGATTCACCCCTTGCATGTATCCACAAGTCTAATACCACCCCAGTGAAGTCTTCCATCATCATACCAGATTTGATAAGCATAAATGTAACCCCGGGGAAAAGTATAAACAAACAAACAAACAAACAAAAAATATTCTTGTTTATGGAGAGAGAGAGAGAGATGGAGCCGGGCTTGCTTATTCACTCTAGTAATCCAGTACGAGCTTGGACATTGGGGTTCCTTTCCTACAGGCTGAAGTTTTTCTCTTGGCTATGGCGTCCACCTGCGTGTGGGGTTCACCCAACCTAATATCCCATACGCTCTTACCTCGAAGATGTAACATTAATGGTTGAAGTTAACAGATGCCTTTTGTTTCCTGCTGAAGTTAATAATAGTTGGAAATAAGCCTACAATTTCCCGTGCAAATTTATGGCTTTTACTTACTTATTCAAGGGAGCTCATCATTTCCCACTCAACATAAAGTGAATCCAGCACTCGGAAATATTCCGAGTTGTGGGATATTTTGACCTTAATTTAACGCAGTCCTTCAAAATGCAATCATCATGTATTGATTTACAGGTTTATTCCATCGCGCTATCTCCCAGAGCGGCACTGCTGTATGCGCTTGGGCACTTACACCTCCAGGAAGACCGAAGCTACTGGCAGAACAAGTGGCAGATATGTTTAACTGTCCGACTCAGTCGAGCTCCGAGCTGATCTCCTGCCTCAGGAAACAAGATTCATACAAGTTATACGGCGCGGAACTTTTGATTCCAGTAAGTTCCGCGTCAGATTCTGTGACATTGGCACAGACGGAATGTGCACACACAGACAAACATTAACACATAACTTAGCAGCTATGAAAATTACAAACAAAAGCACAAACACTGCGAATATAGAACGAAAAATAATATTCCTATATAAGAAGAAACAACGGGTTATTAAGGAATTTTATTATATGCAAATAAAGAACTCGAAGTCATGGAAATACACACGGTATAACACAGAGGAATCAATAAATAAAAAATTACAAAACGAAATGGAAATAGTACACCAAAAACAAAGAAAAATACGCAACCTGTCTAACTCACAAACAAAATACCTAACAAAGAATGTACAATGTACAGAAACTTTGAAATATATTTCAGAAGGACGCGTTGCGCGTAAGACGGTGGGTCAGTGGCATCTGTTGAATAATCTGTAGTTGAATATTGAAAACGTTACGTCAAATTTAACGGGTCATTAAATACTAATTAACTATTTTGGGTGATTTAAAATAGAGACATTCAAATACTCCATGCTTCGTAATTTTACATCAATATCACGAAAGGCAAAGCGACTACCTGGGCCAAACCACTTTGTCATTAGCGCATATAGCAGATATCAAAGTAAGGCTTGTTCAGTTTTGAAATAACACGATTAGTTGGTGGTGAGAAGATTCCTGCTTAGACTGTCCTTGCTGTCGGAGAATGGATCATTAGAACCAACACACGTGATAATATTTATGCTGATGAGCAGGCTTGCAGATGTGCGATGAAGACCGTTACCAACTCCATTCCAGATTATCAAATTTCCCTGCTGAATCGCGGTTTTCGACATAAAGCTTTATCCTTTATTACATAAACTAATTCTGATATATATGCGCTGCCATTTGGAAGTAACCGTTTAAATTCCCTGCCGGTAGTGAGTGCATCCTTCACCCTTACATTTTCTTATTTTTAGCCGGTGGGAAAAATATCCTACACGTATTTCTCGTGAATCGCGAGACTGCGACGTGCTACGCGTCACTGTTGTCACGGAGTAGTCAGAGCGAGGTAAGCAAATGCTGCGAGCGCATATAAGTCTTGGAGTACAGTTTATCCGTGACGAGCCGGAAGCGAATAATAATTTCGCTTCAACAGTATATTTTGGAACTATGTGTATTGTGCAGTCGCAGAGTCGTTGTTGGCGTGAATTTGATGATCTAGAATTCTTTCCCGTAACTCCAATTTGTAGTGGGGTTGACTATTTAATTGATCTTGGCAGTGTAATGAGTGAATCTGTTGTCCCTGTACGCTTCGTTCACATTCAAAAGAATCTTGAACGATTGAGGGCAGTAATGCAACAAATTCCTAGGCACGGTCGCCTTAGAGAAGACAAGCAGGTCCCTTCGAATAATTCTGCAGGAAGACTTCAGGCTTCATCCTTACAGGAACCCAGGGACGTAGGGTACATGGATGTGATGGAAGCATTGCTTCCCTATAGAATAGCAACCAAGAACATTTCTGGCATTTTTTCAATTTCGAAAAAAATATTTCATACTTCAAAATATTAATTAATCTGAGAACATATATTACATATAATGAGAATATTGCAAGTTTTAATGTGTTACATAAACAATTTATCAGGATAGATCAGTTATTTTCTTCCGAAATGCAGGGAAATTTAAACTGCAACACGCGCGAAGAAGCAGGTCTTTCGCTTCCACCCTCCCCTGGGTTAACTGGCTGACTCAATGTCAATGTTGTCTGTAAGTGAGCTATGCGTTATGGTATGCTACCAGCTTCGTGCCTCCAGCAATGTTGCCAGATGTAAGGCATTGCAGTTTGCAGTAGAATAGTCTGTGACCTTGCAGTTAAGCGTGCTTACTAGTTTTCAGAAGGTGTTAGCGTGTCACTTATGCACAAGTCAGTTTAGTTATTATTCTGTATTTT